TATTTGAATTTGTTTTTACATCATTAGCAGTTTTTTTGCAGTTAACAGATTGCTTTTTCTGCATGAATGTAGATGGTAAGCGCTTTTTTGGTGTTGTTTCAAAATTTTTTTCAACACCGCTACCGCTCACGCTTATCACGGCCAATGTTTATGGAGTGGTCAAATGCCCGTTACTTTTCTTTTTTTTGCTTCTTGTCAACACTTCTACCGTACTTTTTGTAAAGGAGTCACATAATGCAGAGGTTTTCGCTGAGAGATGCCTAAAGATGTATTGCATTTGGCTTTTCCAGAGTCAGCCAGAGGTTACCTTGGGACTTGCAAGTTATCTGCATTAAATACTTCACGAAGCGACTGTGATTTGGCGCTGTCACTTCATAAATTTAAGTTTTATATCAAATATTAAAAAAGATAAAATTAGATGAGAAAAAAGTGAAGATAAAAGTTTTTCACAGTCTTGATGAATATACGTCTTCGAGTTCTCAAACAATTTTATTTTACAAGAAAATGAGATTTTCGTAATTCCTTTGTAGGGCTGTGATCAATAGTTTTTACCTTTGCTTTCATCTCCAGTCTTCCCGCCAAGGTTGCGGCCAGTGCACATTTTGGCGCCGTGAATAAGTTCAGATAACACAGTTTCACTTGATTAGACTGTAGATGCATGTTCATTTCGAAGTTTCACGACCTGACTCGCTTAAAGGATCACAGCTCATAATGACGTAGAAAGGACGTTCAATCGAGCCAGTTTTTACTAGTACAGGCAAGGTGGGCAAGATGAGCCACCTATTTGCCAGAGGCTCCTGGCAGCTTAGAATTCATTTTATTTGCTAAAGCCACAAATTCTGAATTGGGGGTTCTCGTCGCATGCTCCGCAGGTATTATACACAGTAAAAATGAGGTTGTGATCATGAACAATGTAAAGTTTGAAGAATTTTTGGAGCAGTATTGGAGATGAGGAATGTCTCTTCTTGAAATTTGAAGAAAATTTTGGTGAGGTTGCTTTTATAATATTTTTCAAGAAACATTTGCTGTGGTGAGCATTGGTGATTGTTTTGACACTTATCAGTTTCTGTCGTTATTTATTTGTGTTATGCGTAGTCGGCTTGCAATTTACAGTTTATAGCTTGTGTTTCAAGGGTTTGTATTGTTGGGCGTATGTTGTGTTATATTGTTTTTTGTTGCTTACTTTTTTCAAAGGTAGTTGAACAGAGAGAGGTGGGGTAAGGAGGTAAAGGATAGTACGGTGGAAATGTTAATGAAATCAATTATTGGGGAGTTGATTATAGTGGTACCAATAAATTGCATCAATAGTTTAATGTGCATTTTTCTTCATGTAGCGTAACCAGACATTTGTTTATTTCTTTACATATTTTTTTGTATTTGTAGGAGTTCACACCCAGGAAGCAACGAAATGAATGGATGTACAAGGATATTGATGAGGAAATAAACAGTGGATATAATTCTGGTTAGTTTTTTAGTGAGCATAGTTTGATTCCTTATTACCGTCGAATGCTTCCTTTGTTTTGTTCTCTACAGCAAAAATTTTGGCTCAAATGTTGTTTGCAGAAGGATCGTCTCAAGGCTGTAATGAGAAGAAAAGCAAAAACAAAGAGCCTGAGGAACTTCACCCAAGTACTTCCGAAACCTCTGGCGAGGGGCTAAAGGATGATAGCCGCAAGTCAGGTCAGGAGGCACTTTCGATTGAAAAGAAAGTTGACACAGGTATTACTGAGGAGGTTGGTACTACATTCTTTTGCGTTACTTCTACGTTCTAATA